TATTTCATCTTGGGTGAGTTTTGGTGGTTTGCTGTTTTCAAGAAATTGGTCCATTTCATCTAAGTTGTTGAGTTTCTGTGCATAGTGTTGTTTGTCATATTTCCTCATTATCTTTTTAATGTCTACAGGGTCTGTAGTGATACCCCTCTTTCATGCCTGATATAGGTAATTCCTGTCTTCTCTCTTTTTTCTTCGTCAGTCTTGCTAGAGATTTATCAATGTATTGATCTTTACAAAGAATCAGCTTTTGATTTCATTGATTTGTCTATTTTTCTATTTCAGTTTAATCAATTTCTGCTGTTATGTTTAGTATTTCCTTTCTTCTTGGTTTGGGTTTATTTTGCTCTTCTTTTTCTAGTTTCTTAAGGTGGACGCTGAAGACATTGGCTTGAAGCCATCCTTCTAATATAAATGTTTAATGATATGCATTTCCTTCTAAGAACTGTTTTAGCTGTGTCTTACAGTTTATATATTGGATTTTCATTTTGTTCAGTTCAAAATAATTTCAAATTACCCTTGTGATTCCTCTTTGACTCATGGATTATTTAAAAATGTGTTCTTTCATTTCTAAGTGTTTAGAGATTTTTGTGTTATCTTTTTGTCATTAATTTTTAATTTCATTTTGGTTGGGCGGAGTGTTCTGTAAATGCTAGTTAAATCCAGTTGGTTGATGACATCATTCAATTCTTATATATCCTTGCTAATATTCTGTCTACTAGTTCTATCTATTACTGAGAGAGGAGTATTGAAATTCCAACTTTAATTCTGAATTTGTCCTTTTCTCCATTCAGTTCTGTCAGTTTTGCTTCATGTATTTTGAAGCGCTGCTGTTAGGCACAAAGAAATTTAGAATTGTTATGTTTTCTTAGTCAACTGATCCTTTTATTATTATGTAACGTGCCTTTTTATCCCTGGTAATTTTCTTTTCTCTGAAGTCTAATTTGATATTAATATTGCCACTTTAGCTTTCTTTTGATTGGTGTTTGTATGTCATATTTTGTCCATCCTTTTACTTTTTTTCTTTCCTCCTTTTACTTTTAACCTACTTATATCGTTATATTTGAGGTGAGTTTCTTGCAGATAGCGTATAATTGAATCATGCTTTTTTATCCATTCTGAAAATCTGTCTTTTAACAAGTATGTTTAGACCATTTACACTTAATGTAACATTGATTTGTTTGGATTAAGGCTTCCCATTTTATCCTTTTTCAGTTTCTCATTCTTCTGTTTTTCCTTTCCTGTCTGTCTGTGGATTATTTGAATGTTTTTTAGTATTCCATTTTGATTTATGTAATTTTGACTATATCTCTCTGTATAGCTTTCTTAGTGGTTGCTCTAAGGGTTATAAAATACATACTTATCTTTTTACGATTTACTTAGAATCAGTGTTTTACCAATTCAGTTGGAATGTAGAAACCTTGCTACCCCTTTATGCTATAGTTGTTGTGTATATTACATCTACATACATTAAAATCCCCATCAGACAGTGTTATAATTTTTGCTTTCAATTGTCCAAGATACTTTTAAAGAACTTAAGAGGAGAAGAATGGTCTGTCGTGTTTAGCTAGATATTTACCATTTCTCTTGGTCTCCCTTCATTCCTGATGTTCCAGGTTTCCTTATGATATCCTTGCCTTATGTCTAAAGAGCTTCTTTTAGCATTTCTTTTAGAGCATGTCTCCTGGCTACAAATTCTCTTGGTTTTTCTTCTTCCGACAGTGTCTTTATTTCACTTTCATTCTTGAAGGATCTTTTCACTGGATGTAGAATTCTAGGTTGACAGTTTTATGTCATCACTTTAAAAATGTTGAGCCACTTCCTACTAGCCTCCATGATTTCTGATGCGAAATCCACAGTCGTCTGAATTGTTATTCACCTGTAGGTCATATGTTGCTTTTCTCTGGCTGCTTCTAAGATTTTTTTTTGTTTTTATTTTTAGCAATTAAATTATGTTGTGTCCAGGTTTGAATATCTTTGGGTTTATACCATTTAGGATTTGTTCAGACTCTGGAATCTGTACATTTATATCCTCCACTAAACTTGGGACATTTTTAGCCATTCTTTGTTGAGATGATCTATTTTAGCATTGGTTGCAAGAGTGTTTGCAGTTTTTGTAATCGCTGTGTGAAGTCTTTGTTGGATAATTCGAACTCGTGTGCCATCTCAGTGTTTGTGCGTTTTGATTGTACTTTACCATGGGAGCTGGAATTTTTGTGCTTCTTCATATGCTGAGTAATTTTGGATTGTATCCTAGACTTTTTGAATTTTATGTTTTAAGTTTCTAGGTCTTGTTTACATTATATGGAAAACAATATTTTTGTTTGGGCTGCCAATTAGCCTGGCTAGTTTCAGACCTCACATTCCAACCCACCCTCCATGGGGTGTGAGGTTTGGTTCTGGGGACAGTCCTGAGGTCGTACCCAGCTTTACAGGGTTGCTTTCCCAAGCTTCTCCCTCTCTGTGATCTCCCCGGTACTTTCTCTTTGCCTGGGACTTGGACTCTCTTTTTCGGTTCTACAGCCAAACACTTGGGGCTCCAGTTACCCCACTCTGTCGCACACACCTGTGATTGGACCATGTCCCGACCTAGGCGGACAGGGACAGAGAGAGAAGAGAGCAACAGGGTTTGCCCCACCCTCTCAGAAATGTGGCTCAAGCCTCAGGGTGGCCTGGGCCTAAGAGGATGAGAACGGGGAAGGGAGACTCGCGTACCGCCTCTGAGTGTCGGGAGCCTGTCAGGTTCTGGGCCAGAGCGAGCCACTTCCCCGAAGCTTCCTGTCTGCGCTGAGGTGCTGTGTCCAGGGTCCACTGACCCTTGGGGGTACACAGCTCATGCAGTGGCCCCTTCCCGACCCTCTGCTGCCCTTCACTTTTCAGTGTCTCCTGTGGTTGCCTTGAGCATGTGCCCGGGTTTTATAGTCGTAGCTGATGGCCAGTGGCAGAGAAAGGGAGTTGCGTGCTGGTTTCTACATTGGATTGTCCTATTGTTTGGCAATATCTGGATGGATCGTGATTGATTGGTTTCCACATTGGATGGCCTTGTTTGGCAATCTCTGGATGGACCATGATTGATTGGTTTCTGCGTTGGATGACTTGTTTGGCAATATCTGGATTCCACTGGATGGACCGTAATTAATTCCCCTGATCCTGTAAAGCAGGTGGCTTGGATATGTCCATGTTGAACTGTTTTATATACAATGTGGAGCGGTCCTGCGTGGAGACCCAGACACCAGAATGAGCATGCATCACTGTCCCAGACATTGGAATGGGCGTTCATGGAGTTCCAGATGCTGGAATGGGCCTGTGTGGCCACCCCGGACACCGGAATGGATCTGCGTGGCCGTCCCGGACACCAAAGTGGACCTGTGCAGCCATGTGGGACACCGGAGTGGGCCTGCACAGCCATCCTGGACACCGGAGTGAGTGTGTGTGGCCATCCCAGACGCCGGAGTGAGCCTGCATGGCTGTCCTGTACACCGCAGTGGGCCTGCGTGGGTATTCCCAATGTGCGTATTGGACATCTCCCTGCCCAGATCGGAATTTCTAACGTGGAATCCTGATGCAGGTGCTTCCCAATGGATGCTTCCCATGGACTAAATGTAAGCCTGTTTACTTTTTTATCCTTTAAGCTATGAGGCAAGACGGCCTCGCTGACCACGTGCCCCTCTGCTCCTCTGGCCTGGGGACTCTCGTCTGAATTGTTTGCTGAGCCAGAACACAGCCTGCCTTTCTCTGGGGTGTCCCAGGGGAGGGAAGCCACTCCTGGCAGGACTGAGCAGGAGAATGCTGGGAGCGCGGGGCACCCCAGCCACGGGGTGTCGCCTGGAGGACTCCACTCCTCCACCCAGGCCAAGGCCAAGACTGGGCCCAGGCATGTGCTCAGATGCCCGCTCACGAGCCTGCTTGTCCAGCTGAAGGCTGAGTCAGCTTTTGCCCTCAGATTCCAGAATTTAGACGGTGCATGTCCTTAACTAGCAACTGCATCCGGTAAGGAAGGGCACAGATGCAAATGGATCAGTCCCTGACACTCAGGATCCAGTGGCAGCAAGGCCAGGCTGGAGAGAGAGGAGGAGGGGCTATGATGTACCAGTTGGGGAGCGCACCAGGTGTGGGCGACGGTGGGCAGTATGGCCAAGTGGAGCAAGGAGGGGCCATGACAGGAGGTGAGGGTGGGCAGTGGCGGGCAGCCCTGCAGAGCCTGAGTTTGCAGCCCCTGGGCCTCCCAGCAGTGTGGACACATCAGCACACGGTGGGGCAGGGACTGTGCCAGCTGCCCAGTGCCCCTTGGTGCACCTCGGTGTCCCCATCCTGAAGTAGGCGTGGGGCGGGCCTCATCCCGCTTCTCCCAGGACCGCTTGGTGCCTGCCCTGCAGTGGTGGCAGCCTGGTGTGGTTTGGAACCACACTCACGTGATGCCAGGTTGCCCCAGTAGTATGCGGCCTGGTGGGTTGTTGGTGCGGAGGAGAAGCTCCTGCTGCGTTGATTTCTGTTTTACAATAATGGTGGTTGTCAGACTCCCTGGTGGCCAGGGAGCAGGAAGGGGTTTGGGCCAAGAAGCCTCATCCTTAACAAGTCCCAGGAGGCATGGTTAGGGCCTCCCTGGGCCCAGGCAGAGACAGATGTGAGAAAAGTCAGTCTAGCCTGTTGGGTTTGCTGGTGCGGGTGGAGGCCTGGGTCAAGCCACAGGTCTGCCTGGGCATCAGGGAGGGCTCCCTGGAGGAGGCAGCTGTGTGCCAGCCATGAGGGTGCATGAGAGAGATGGGTGTAGGGGGCTTAGCGGCTTAGACAGGATTCCAGGCCTAGGGCGGTGAGGGCCCTGAGGGATGGAGGGGCCTGGGGTGGCAGGTGGGGACTCTTAGCTAAGGGGACACAGGAGCAGATGGAGAGGAGCAGGGTATGGAAGTGGGATTCTGGGAGGTCCCCCGTGTGAGGGTGGAGGGTGGTGGGCTGTTGTGAGTGACGCAGGGCATGGCCTCCCCTCACGCTGCCCACCCCACCAGGTCAGTGCCAACGGGAACGTGCTGCGCAGCGAGATCGTGGGCTCTATCAAGATGCGGGTCTTCCTGTCGGGCATGCCCGAGCTGCGCCTGGGCCTCAACGACAAGGTGCTCTTCGACAACACAGGCCGTGAGTACCTGGGCCCCAGGCATGGGCAGGGCGAGGCGGGCCTCTCGGAGGGGCCGCATTCTCTGAGGGGCAGGCTGATGTCCAGCAGCAGTTTAGAAACATCTCCATGTCACGTGGAAGGTGTCTGTGAGAATTGATGCCCGGATGTGGGTGACACAGGAGTGTGGAAACCCAGTAGTGACGCCCACTGTCGTCCCTGCCAAGGGCCATGTCATGAGTGTTCTAGACGCATAGCTAGGCCTCATGACCCTGCCCTGCGCTGTCTGCGTGGTGGGTGTCGACCCAGGCCTGTCTTCTGACCCCTGCCTGGATGCAGCATGCTCCTTGGTGAGGGGCAGAGTGGCTCGGCCTGAGTTCCTGGCTGTGCCTACCACTCCCTGCTGAGGTGGCAGGTCACATGTCCTCCCCAGGCCTGGGACTCCCAGTCTGTGAATTGTTCCCCACCCCCCACTATCACCAGGCCCTGGTGGGCAGGGGCCAGAGCCTGTGAGGTTGTGGTCACACCTGTAGCCACCGCTCCTTGGGCGTTCCCACGTTCTTGGGTAGTCAGGGTAGGGACTGGCTAACTTGACTTCCACAGCCCCTCTGTTTCGAGAGCGGAAACTGAGACAGGGCTAGAGGGTTGACAGGGCCAGGGCGTGCGGGAGCCCCAGGCCAGCCCCACGCACCTCCACTGGCTCCTCAGTCATTCACAGACAAACCCTTAGCTGTTCCTGGGCCAGGACACCACAGCACCCAGGCCTGTTTTCATGGGGCCCAGGCCATGGAGGAAGCACAGGAGGAGGGAGGAGGTGGTCTGCGACCTGGACCTTTGACGTTCATGGCCAAGGGGCTCCCACAGATTTGGGGGGTCCACTCTGCTGGGGCACCCAAGGGTAGGAGTTTTGCTGAGACTCACCCAGAGGCCTGGGTCTGTCTTTCACTGGGCCACCCTCACCGCGCCCGGTCCTCACCATGCCATGCCCCTGCAGGCGGTAAGAGCAAGTCCGTGGAGTTGGAGGACGTGAAGTTCCACCAGTGCGTACGGCTCTCACGCTTCGAAAATGACCGCACCATCTCCTTCATCCCACCTGATGGCGAGTTCGAGCTCATGTCCTACCGCCTTAACACCCATGTGAGTCAGCTGACCAGGGCAAGGAGCCCACCAGGTCCTGACCCAAACCCCCTTAGGAGCAGGTTCCTCACCTGCAGGCTGGCCATCAAGGCTGAGGACCAGTGGGAGGCTCCAGTGCCCTTGCCGCCCCGAGCCCCCTGCCTTGACTGCCCTGCGTGGGAGTGGCCCTGCTCCCGGAGGCAGTGAGGATGACAACCCAGGAGAGTAGGCCCGTGGGTGCTCAGGGTCTGCACCCACACCCACTGCCACCTGGGCTCCGGGGCCCCTCTGAAGGGTGGCCCCATTAGCCCTATGGCCCCTGTGTCCTGGTGCTGGCTCTGGTCTCGTCCGAGAGCCCTGGGGGAGTGATGTGCTGGGTGAGAGCAGGTGCTGTTCCAGGGCCTGGGCCTCAGTTTCCCCCCTGTGAAACGGGCCTTTGTAAACTCGACATGGTGTGAATGTGGCCTTCACTCTCCCTACAGGTAAAGCCCTTGATATGGATCGAATCTGTCATTGAGAAGCATTCACACAGCCGCATTGAGTACATGATTAAGGTGTGTGCACAGGGTGAAGAGGCACTCAGTGTCCCTGGCATGTTCACCCGGGGCCTTGTGACCCGCACTGTAAAATCCATGTCCCTGGCCCTTCCTCCCAGGGCCCCACAATCCCCACTGTGAGCTCTGACATGGGAGGGGCCTAGAGCAGTGGGGGACATACCCCCCATTAGCTGAGTTGGTCCTGGCCTGGATGTGTGGCCACCATGGGAGGAGCCTGCAGCTGACACCCAGGAAGACTGTGCAGAGGGGCACCTTCCTGAGGTGCATCCCTCAGGCTGAGCTTCGTCTGCAGGGAATACCACATATCCTAGGAGTTGGGGCTGGGCTGGCAAGAGGGCCTTCTCCAGCCGAAGGGGATGGGGTAGGACTGAAGCTCTGCAGTCCATGTGGGGAGCCTCAGGAGCCGTGTCTCCTCGCTCAGGCCAAGAGCCAGTTCAAGCGGCGTTCAACAGCCAACAATGTGGAGATCCACATCCCAGTGCCCAACGACGCCGACTCACCCAAGTTCAAGACCACCGTGGGCAGCGTCAAGTGGGTGCCAGAGAACAGTGAGATTGTGTGGTCCATCAAGTCCTTCCCGGTGAGGCTCCTGCAGGCACTGAAAGTGTTGCCTCAGGGAGGGGCTGGGAACTCAGAAGGCCGGGCTGGATCCAGGCAAGTGGGAGCAACAGGCTGGCTCCAGACTCGCAACGTCCCCAGACCATCCCGTTTGTGAGGTGGCTACATCATCAGCATTGGGTGGTGCTGTCCCTCTGAGAAGTCCCTGGTTAGGAGCCGGGTGTCCCCATGCAGTTTGCCTCCCCCATCCCCCAGAAGGAGCCCCAGCATCAACAGTGTCTTCGTTATCTAGTGCTGCTATAACAGAAATACCATAAATGGGTGGCTTTAACAAATTTATTTCCTCGGAGTTTAGGAGGCTAGAAGTCCAAATACAGGGTGCTCCTGGGTCATCTTCAGGTGACTTGGCATCTCTCTTCCCCATCTCTGCTTCTGCTTGCTTATTTAATCTCATATCTCAAAAGAGATTGACTCAAAATACACCCTACCCCTATCTCATTAACAAAGACAGCCCATTCCCAAATGGGTTTATAACCACAGACATAGAGCATGTATTTTTGGGGGATATAATTCAATCCGTAACATTCCACCCTTTGGCCTCCACAAATTCATGTCCTTGACACATGTAAAACACATTCACCCCATCAGACCATCCCAAAAGTCTTAAATCAGCTCAAGTCCAAAATCTCATCTGAATCATCTAAATCAAATGTGGCTGAGACTTTAGGTGTGTTCTTCCTGGGTCAAAATTCCTCTTCAACTGTGTTGTGTTGTTGGTGCTGGGTGCCATGGAGACATTTCCAACTCATAGCAACCCTGTGAACAACAGAGCAAAACACTGCCCATTCCTGTGCCATCCTCACAATCATTGGTATGTCTGAGCCCATTGTTGCAGCCACTGTGGCAGTCCATCTCTTTGAGGGTCTTCTCTTTTTCACTCACCCTCTGCTTTTCGAAACATGATGTCCTTCTGCAGTGACTGATCTCTCCTGATAGCATGTTCAAAGTACGTGAGACAAAGTTTCGCCATCTGTGATTCTGTGAAATCTAGAATAGAGGTTATCTATTTCCAAAGTACAGTGATGGAACAGGCCCACGGTAGACATTTCCATTATGAATGGGAGAAATAGGAGGGAAAGAAGGGATAACAGGCATCAACCAAGTCTCAAACCCAGCAGAACAATTTACATTAGCTCTCAAGGCTTGAAAATAATCTTCTCTTCTCTGAGACCATTTCGGCAGTGGTGCCTTCCAGACTCTGGGGGTTGGCCACGCCCTCTGGATTCTGGGTGGAGGTTCCTCAGCCCTGGGTTTCAGCTCCACCTTCCAGGCCCACCGGGACAGCAACTCTGCTCCCTTGGCTTTGGGCGGCCCCATTCATTTAGTCCACATGAGTGGCAACCCTACTGCCTCGGACCTGGAAGGCCCCATTCTTCTGCCCCTTGGGCATGGCAGCCCTGCCCCCTGGTGCTCATGAACGGCAGCCCCACACTCCGGAACCAAGTTGCTGATGATCTAACTCCTTTAAACCTAGGAGGCCATGACTCCACCCTTTGAAACTGATGCAGCCTTGCTTCCTGTTCTCCTTCTGGCACTAATACTGATCTCTGAGCTGCTCCAGGGATGGTCCTTTTCTTTTCTTGGAGGACAACACATGCAGCTCCTTTGGCCTGTTTCCTTCCAAGAGGCAGACAGCATTCTTTCCTTTTGTTCTTTCTCTGTCCCTTTCAGTCTAAACTGATGAGTTTTCTGCTGTGATAGTTGGTTAGATCCATCAGTCACAGGCTTAATCTCTTTAACAAAGATTGTGTAGTCACGTCCTTGGTGAACATTCTAGGACACATGTTCTTAGTTTGTACAACAGAATTTTCCAGATCTTTAAGTTTTGTCTTTATTTTGCATAGTTCATTTTTAAGTCCACTTCTTTCTTCTTGCTTTTTACTATAAGCAGCAAGGAGAAACCACACGGCCCCTTTAAAGTCTTGCTTAGAAGTCTCAGCCAGATATCTAAGTTCATCACTTACAAGTTCTACCTTTCACCAAACATTTGAACATAATTCAGACAAGTTCTTTGCCACTGTATAAAAAGCATTGTCCTTCCTCCATTGTCAAATCCCATGTTCATCATTTGCTTTTAAAGCCTCACCAGAAGCACATTTAATGTCCACGTTCTAGCAACGTTCTGTTGCTGGCGCCACATGTATTTTCTAAGACGGTACTTTCTCTTTGGCTCTCTCACTTTCTTCTGAGTCCTCACCTGAATTGCTTTTGACATCGATAATTCTACCAACAGTCTCTTCAAGGCAATCTAAGTTTCCACTATTAGGCACCTTAAAACTCTTCTAGCCTCTACCCACTACCCAATTCCAAAACCACTTCCACATTTTAGGTATCTGTTAGGGCAGCACCCCACTCTTCTGGTACCAAATTCTGTCTTAGTTATCTAGTGTTGCTATAACAGAAATACCATAAATGACTGGCTTTAACAAACAAATTTATTTTCTCACAGTTTAGGAGGCCAGAAGTCTGAATTCAGGGTGCCAGCTCTAGGGGAAGGCTTTCTTTCTCTGTCGGCTCTGGAGGAACGTCCTTGTCTCTTTGAGCTTCTGCTCCTGGACGATCTTTATGTGACCTGGCATCTCTTTTCCCCTGTCTCTGCTTCTGCTCACTTGTTTAATCTGTTTTATGTCTTAAAAGAGATTAACTCAAGATACACCCTACACTCCTGTCTCGCTAACATAACAAAGACAGCCTATTCCCCAATGGGATTATAACCACAGGCATAGAGGTTAGGATTTACAGCTCCTATTTTGGGGGGACATAATTCAATCCATAATAGGTGAGTAGACGTCCCTGACCTGGGGAAACGGGATCGCTGGTTCCCTACCATCCAGGGCCTTCCCCGCCAGAGGCTCAGATGGACTCCCCTTCTGGGGGACAGATGGCCTTTAGGATGGAGCAGCATGGGCTTCTGGAATCCGGCACCTGCTCCAGGAAAGTAGTTTCATCTCCTGTGCCTGACTCCATCCACTGGGGCTGCTGCCAGGGGCTGCATTAATGATTCTGAGGGCCGGAGTCTGGGTGCGGAACAGTCCCCAGAGCGTTGGAAGGCAGGTATGTGCGCAGTGGGGCTGGTAGGACGTCCTGACCTGTTCGTTCACGCAGGATTCTTGGCAGTCACTGCTTTCCTCTGTCCTCTGCCCCTGTCTTTCTCTTTGTGTCTCTCTCTCCCTCTCATCTCTCTCTGTCCCTCTTTGTCTCTCTGTCCCTCTCTCTCCTCTCCTCTTTCTCTCTCGTTTATCTCTCTCTCCCCCTCCTTCCCTCTCTCTCTTCCTCCTTCCCTCTCTCTGCCTGGATCCCTGGAGATATCTGAGGACGACCCCAACTGAAACATGCAGTGATTCAAGTGCCAGGATTGTTTTATGTTCATATTTTCCCTAACACAATATTATAATCCCACTACAATGGTTACGTGCTCAGCTGCTAACCAAAAGGTCAGCGGTTTGAACTCACCCGCCGCTCATGGGAGAACGATGTGGCAGCCTGCTTCCATAGAGATTTACAGCCTTGGAAACCCTATGGGGCAGTTCTACTCTGTCCTGTAGGGTCGCTATGAGTTGGAATTGACTTGATGGCAGTGAGTTTGTTTTTTTTTTTTTACAGAAAATGTAGAAAATAGAGAAAGGGAGGAAAAAACCTATCATTCCACTGCCATAATGCAACACTGTTTGCCTTTTGGCATTTTTCATTCTAATCTCTCTTTCCTGTGTAGTTTTGTTTTATGTAGTTGTAAACAAGGACCGGAACCAGTTTTGTGTTCTTTTCCACTCATTTCCAAGTTGTTGACTGTCTTGGCAGTCATCATTGGCAGCGATGTAATATTCCACAGAGGCGTGATTACCGTCCAGGATTGTCAGACTATTTCCTTTGTTCCCCTGAATTCACAGTTGACCATAGTTCTGATATTAAAAAACACAGCTGAAGAATAGATCATAAAATAAATAACGTGGGTAGCTCGAAGGGGAGGAGGGGGGCAGGGCTGAGGGCTAGAAGGTTGCCAGCATGGACTCTATCTTGTTTTGTAGGTTTAACTTTGAAACCATGTAAATGTTTCTCATGAGTATAAAAGGAAATCACATCAAAATGAAAAAAAAAAGAAAAAAAGGTTATTCCTAAAAATCGAAAGCAAAATGAATTTAACACTATGCCAAGTTGATGATAACCACTCAGACTCCAAACAACATGCCCTAAGGACAAAAAGAACTTAAAATCCTAAATACACGTATGTGTTTGTATCCTTCCTCTTCAAGTTCTCCACATTAGCAACCCAATATGCAGTTATATTCTAGGATGACTCTTTTTATTCAGTGTGTTTGAATATATAAAGCACTTACATGGTTCAGGGGTCCTGGGTGATGCAGACTGTTTGCACTCAGCTGCTGACTGAAAGGTTGGCAGTTCACGTGCACCCAGTGGTGCCACAGAAGAAAGCCCTGGCAGTCTACTTCTGTAAGATTAACCACCAGTTGCCATCAAGTTGATTCCAACTCGTGGTGACCCCATGTGTTTTAGAGTAGAACTGTGCTGCATAAAGTTTTCATTGGCTGATTTTGGGGAAGCAAATTGCCAGGCCTTTCTTCCAGGGTACCTCTGGGTGGGTTCAAACCTCCAACCTTTTAGTTAGTAGCACATCACTTAACGTTTGAGCCACCCAAGGACACCTCCATAAGATTACAGCCATTGAAAACCCTGTGAAGGAGTTCTGCGCTGTCCCACATGGGGTCGCCATGACTCTGGATGGACTCAACAGTAATAGGTTTTTTTTTTTAATTTTATTTTATATGGTTCAAAGTCAAAACTATAGGAAAGAGACTGAAGTCTCACTTCCGTCCCTGTCCCTCTTCCCAACTCCTCTTTCCCCAGTAGGGAAGCATTGTCACGTGTTCCTCGTCCTTCTGATGTGGATTTTGGTAAAAGGAAGTATATAAGAGCGTGTATGTTACTACTTCTCCTCCTTACCCAGAAGTGGAGTATTATATATACTATTCTGTACTTTACCTTTTTCTCCCAACCATTTAGGAGAAATGTCAGTACAAAGAGATGCTCCTCATTCCTTTTTACAGCCATGTGGTATCTGCTCTGTGGCGTGTTTGATCTTTATTCGTTCATCCACCGTGGAAGAATGTTTAGTTGTTGATGATCTTTGGCTTTAGAGAGAATGCTCTGATGAGTACCCTGTGCCTCTGTCAGTTGGTTCTATTAGAGGTGTTAGGAGTGGGGTCACACAGCGTTGAGACTGTTGGGTCATGTCAAACTCTCCAAGTAGAGCTTACGTGATTTTGTATTCTGCCAGTGTCACCAGCAGAGTTACTGTCAAGCTTTCATTTTGCTGTTCCGTCATCAGGAGCAAGGTTGAGTGACTTTTCTCATATCTAAGGGCCACTTGCTTTTGTATTTTTTGATGGAGACTTGAGTGTCTCTTGCCTATTTTCCTGTCAGGTTTCATCTTTTTCTTAGTTTCCAGGCACTCTTTCCCTAATGACAAGATTAGCACTTTTCAGTTGTCCTGAGGCTGAGTGTGAAGGGATGACTGCTCAGACTCTGGCCTGGTCAGCAGAGGACCTGTGCATACCCCGCCCCCCTTCTTCTGCCCAAGGCTGGTCTCTCCTGTTCTCCTTGGTAGCAACTAGGTTTTCCTCCCTGAGTGCTTGTAAAACTTCCTTTTGCTCCTTAGAATTTGGCATGTTTCCTGGGATAGCCTCCTGGCATGTCTTTTCTGATTCTCCCAGCTTTGGCACGTGGAGGGGGCAGGATGAGCCACCAAGCTGGGAGCTGGGGGTGGGGGGTGGCTGTGTGGGGAACGGCTGCCGGGCTGGGAGCACAGTGTGGGGTTGTGTAAGGGGACAGCTGCCGGGCTGGGAGCATGAGAGTGAGGGGAGTTGGGGCACTGGACGATGGTGTCTCAGAGCTGGGGGGTTGCAGCCCACACAAATGAAGGGTTCAGTGCCAGTGGGGTGGTGAGCCCGGCCCCAGCATCCATGGCATTCTCCAGGGGTATTGCCCAGCCTGACCACCCCCCTGCCTGCTCCCCTAGGGTGGCAAGGAGTACCTGATGCGTGCGCACTTCGGCCTGCCCAGCGTAGAGGCGGAGGACAAGGAGGGCAAGCCCCCCATCAGTGTCAAGTTCGAGATTCCCTACTTCACCACCTCTGGCATCCAGGTGTGTAGCCAGGTGGATGGTGGATGGGCCAGGCTCCATGTGGGGCCCAGGGACAGTCCAGGGTCAGCCTGGGCCCTGAGGGCCACAAGTAGTGAACCCAGCTCACCAAGCTCTGTCCTCTGCCTGGGCAGCAAGGCTCTGACAGCAGAGAGTGGCCCTGCCTCAACTCTGCCCTGGCCTTGCACTCACCTCAGAGCCCGGAACCAGGCCCAGGCACATCCCCTGGCAGGGGGTGGGGGGCCCACTCACGACGAGCCAGAGGTTGCTGGGGTCCTGGACCCCTGCTCTGGGGTCACTGAGGGGTGTGGCTGCAAGCAGGATTCAGACTCTGCCAGGCCTTCTAGGTGGCTTGGCCCTCCCCCTCCTCGGCTTTCTCCCACCGCACAGCCTGTGCTCACTTCCCATCCAGGGAAGAAGGATCAAAGGGGGGCTGAACCCGGGGAAGGGTAGGCAGTCCGTGGGGGGCCACGCATGCTCAGGGCCCGGCATCTGTGCCCCTAGGTGCGCTACCTGAAGATCATTGAGAAGAGCGGCTACCAGGCCCTGCCCTGGGTCCGCTACATCACCCAGAACGGAGGTGAGTATGGCCGCCCATGGGGGTGTTGGGAGGTCCCTGGGGCTGCTCTGCTGCCCCAGTGGAGTGGACGGGGGTCCCAGTGAGGAGTGGAGAATGACCCTTCCTCCACCTCATCTCCTAGATTACCAGCTTCGGACCCAGTGAGGGGCCACACCTGCTCCCCGGAAGCACCTGCCAAGCAGCTGGATTGAGGCGGGAGTCTGGACCCGGTGCCCTCCCCAGCCCCCCAGGACCTCCCCGCGGGCTCCACTCTGCCTCCAACACTCTGGGTGGTAGACACAGTCTTGTCTGGGACATCTTGTCTCTGCCCCTCTTCGTCCAACTAGGGAGGTCACTCACAGATTGTTCTGCCGTGTGGCTCCCTGGTACCAAGAAGATCAAGATGCACTTGCCAGATGCTGGCTGCACGTGCCACCTGCCACCGCCTGCCACCAGGGCACGCTGGCTCTGCTGGGATCTTGGGGGTGTTGCACTGTTGCTGTTTTTGTTCATGTTGTTTGTAGGTTTATGAATTTCTACTTGTTGGTTGGTTGCTATGTTATAACCGATAACTGCATTGTGCAAGTGCCCACCCTGCCAGGGCCATGCAGGATCCCTGTCCCCACATCCCCACTTCCCGCATCCTGACAGCCTCAAACAGCACTTAGTGAGGGCAGGGCCAGCCCTCTCCTCCTGAAAACTAGCCTCATCTTCCTCCCATGCAGCTGATGGGTGAGCTTACTTGCAGGGTTCAGCTTCCCTGCGTGCCTCCCAGCCCCATCTCATGTGCTGTGACAGTGGTGCCCTCCAGGGCCAGCCCGTGCCACACCCACACCACACTCGGCCACATCAGTCTTTCTCTCCCAGGGGACATGGGTCTGTGAAGGGGGCTGGCCCAGTCTCTTCTCGCCAAGGGTCCAGGAGGGCCCGGGCCAGCTCATCTGTGCCTGGTCCCTGCCCACCTGTGTGTGTTCCTGTCATGATTCCATTAAATTCCATTCATTCGATTCCGTCCTGCCTGCCGCCAGTCCAGCTGTAGTGTGGATAACTCCCACATGGCCCTAAGCAGGTCATCCCTCCCAGCACCTCCTCATCCCCATTGAGGGGAACAGGGATAAGCCCTTGGTGGGGGACGCTGCACTGACTGCATGGTGGCTCTGCCATGGTCACCCCTGCACCGCCTCTTGAGTGCCGGTGGGTGTAAGGAGGGCTCAGGTGAACTCATCCTCTCCTGGAGGCGGCTACTGCAGCTACTGCCACCGCCTCCACCCTGAGGCCACCAGCAGCTGGTCCCCTGCCCTGCCCAGCTTATGACCTTCCTCAGAGCGGAGTCCTGGGACCAGCAACATCAGCCATGTCTGAGAGCTCGGGGAGATGTGGGTTCATGGTCTCCACCTGACCGGCTCCATCCTCTCTGAGGGCAGGCCCAGAACCGCTCCTCATGTACAAGCATTAACCTGTGAGAACCACCACCTCATCACCTACCCGAGGAGGGGAAATGCCTGTGGGCAGGGAAGGCTGTCTCCTCACCGCCATCCCTGCCTCCCCGCCAGCTTGGTGCCTCCTAGCACTGTGCTCCCAGAGTTCTCCTGCCCTCTTCTGTGTCACCAAGCCCCCAGGAACTGTACGCCTGTACATTCTGCTTGATGCCTCCCAGGGGTCTCACAGGGCCAGAGTGACACCTTGGTCTCCACAGAGACATCTTTACCTGACAACAATGGAGAGACGCTGGACACATCTTGTTCCTCATTTTTTCCCTGCCCGCAGCCCAGTCAGCAGCAAACCCTGAAGGCCTCCCTCCCAGGGGACCCAGGTGTGACACCATGTTGCCTCCTCATGGCTGCCCTGTAGTCCAGCTTCATCCTGCAAAATAGCAGATAGGTGACTGGTGTTAATGCCTCGTAGGGTCTTTGTACTATTTGGGAAGAGAGTAGACTAAAAGTCTAAAAAAGCTGCGTATGCTTGTATAACTTTCAAACCAGTGGTTAGGTAGTTTAAAGAAAATTTTAACAAACCAGTAGGAGGAAGGAAAGGAAAGAACATGGAAAAATCAGGATTAATACAGGGTGTTCCAAAATTTTAGTGCAGTCTTAAGTTTTAAATAGCACTTTAAACTGCACTAAGATGTTTGGAACACCCACTGTACATCCACCCCCCAGAAGAAAGCACAGCATAAGATGGTAGAAATAAATTCAAATATTAGGAATCACAACAGACTAAAACACAAAATCCAGCTATATCCTGTTTATAAGACACACCCAAAACATAAGTGGACAACAACACTGTGAAATGGGACTCTGCTGATTTTCTAAAGTAAATTGCCAGGCCTTTCTTGGTCTGCCTTTGTCTGGAAGCTCTGCTGAAACCTCTTCAGCATCCTAGCAACAGACAGACGAGTGGTGGCCACTCACGAGGTGCATTGGCCGGAAATCAAGCCTGTCTCCTGCATGGAAGGCAAAAATTCTACCACTGAACCACCGCTGCCTCCTGTGGCGTTAGGTGCCATGGAGTTGGTTCCATCTCATAGCGACCCTTTGTACAACAGAACGAAACACTGCCCGGTCCTGTGCCATCCTCACAATCGTTGTTATGCTTGAGCCCATTGTTGCAGCCACTGTGTCAACCCATCTTATTGAGGGTTTTCCTCTTTTTTGATGACCTACCACGCGTGATGTCCTTCTCCAGAGACTGATTCCTCCTGATAACATGTCCAAAGTACATGAGACGTAGTCTTGCCATCCTTGCTTCTAAGGAGCATTCTGGTTGTACTTCTTCCAAGACAGATTTATGTGTTCTGGCAGTCCATGGTATATTCAATATTCTTCACCAACACCACAATTTACAGGCGTTAGTTCTTCGGTCTTCCTTATTCATCATCCAGCTTTTGCATGCATATGAGGTGATGAAAAACACCATGGCTTGGGTCAGGCACACCTTAGTCTTCAAGGTGACATCTTTGCTTTTCAACACTTTAAAGAGATCTTTTGCAGCAGATTTGCCCAATGCGGTGCGCCTTTTGATTTCTTGACTGCTGCTTCCATGGGTGTTGATTGTGGATCCAAGGAAAATTAAATCCTTGACAACTTCAGTCTTTTCGTTTTCTTTATGTTGAGGTGTAATCCATACTGAAGGCTGTGGTCTTTGATCTTCATCAGCAAGTGCTTCAAGTCATCTTCACTTCCAGCAAGCAAGGTTGTATCATCTGCGTATCGCAGGTTATTAATGAGGCTTCCTCCAATCCTGATGTCCCATTTTTCTTCATATAGTCCAGCTTCTTGGATTATTTGCTCAGCATGAAGATTGAATAAGTATGGTGATGGGATACAACCCTGATGCACACCTTTCCTGATTTTAAACCATGCAGTATCCCCTTGTTCTGTTTGAACAACTGCCTCTTGGTCTATGTACAGGTTCCTCAGGAGCACAGTTAGGTGTTCTGGAATTCTCATTCTGGTCAATGTTATCCATAATTTGTTACGATCCGCACAGTTGAATGCCTTTGCATAGTCAATAAAACACAGGCAAACATCTTTCTGGTATTCTCTGCTTTCAGCCAGGATCCATCTGACATCAGCAATGATATCCCTGATTCCACGTCCTCTTCTGAATCCGGCTTGAATTTCTAGCAGTTCCCTGTCGGTATACTGCTGCAGCTGCTTTTGAATGATCTGCAGCAAAATTTTACTTGTGTGTGATATTAATGATATTGTTCGATAATTTCCACCTTTGGTTGGATCATATTTCTTGGGAATAGGCATAAATATGGATCTCTTCCAGTTGATTGGCCAGGTAGCTGTCTTCCAAATTTCTTGGCATAGACGAGTGAGCACTTCCAGCTCTGCATCCGTTTGTTGAAACATCTCAATTGATATTCCGTTAATTCCTGGAGCTTTGTTTTTTGCCAATGCCTTCAGTGCAACTTGGACTTCTTCCTTCAGTAGTATCGGTTCCTGATCATGTGCTACCTCCTGAAATGGCTGAACATCAATTCTTTTTGGTATAGTGACTCTGTGTATTCCTTCCATCTTCTTTTAATGCTTCCTGTGTCGTTTAATATTTTTCCTGTAGAATCTTTCAATATTGCAACCTGAGGCTTGAATTTTTTCTTCAGTTCTTTCAGCTTGAAAATGCCAAGCATGTTCTTACCTTTTGGTTTGCTAACTCCAGGTCTTTGCACATGTCATTATAATATTTTGTCTTCTTGAGCTGCCCTTTGAAATCTTACATTCAACTCATTTATTTCATCATTTCTTCCTTTCACTTTAGCTACTCAACATTCAAGAGCAAGTTTCAGAGTCTTTTCTGACACCCATTTTGGTCTTTTCTTTCCTGTCTTCTTAATGACCTCTTGCTTTCTTCATGTATGATGTCCTTGATGTCATCCCCCAACTCCTCTGGTCTTTGGTCATTAGTTTTCAGTGTGTCAAATCTATTCTTGAGATGGTCTTTAAATTCAGGTGGGATATACTCCAGGTCATACTTTGGCTCTCGTGGACTTGTTCTAATTTTCTTCAGTTTCAGCTTAAACTTGGCATATGAGCAATTGACATTCTGTTCCAGAGTCAGCCCCTCGCCTTGTTCTGACTGATGATAATTGAGCTTTTCCATCGTCTCTTTCCATAGATGTTGTCGATTTGATTCCTGTGTATTCATCTGGTGAGGTCCACATGTATAGTCACCATTTATGTTGGTGAAAAAGGTATTTGCAATGAAGTCGCTGGTCTTGCAAAATTCTTTCATGCGATCTCTGGCATTGTTTCTATCACCAAAGACATATTTTCCAACTAGTGAACCTTCCTCTTTGTTTCCAGCTTTTGCATTCTACTCACCAGTAGTTATCAATGCATCCTGATTGCATGTTCGATCAGTTTCAGACTGCAAAAGTTGGCAAAAATCTTCAATTTCTTCATCTTTGGCCTTAGTGGTTGTGTAAATTTGAGTAATAGTCATATTAACTATTCTTCCTTGTAGGCATATGGATATTATGGATATCATCCTATCACTGACAGCGTTGTACTTCAGAATAGATCTTGACAACGACTGCAACACCATCCCTCTTCAAGTTGTCATTCCTGGTATAGTAGATCGTATGATTGTCTGATTCAGAATGGCCAGTACCAGTCCATTTTAGTTCACCAATGCCTAGGATATCGATGTTTATGCGTTCCATTTCACTTTGACCATTTCCAGTTTTCCTAGATTCGTACTTCGTACAATTCCAGGTTCCAATTATTCATGGATGTTTGCAGCTGTTTCCTCTCATTTTGAGTCATGCCACATCAGCAAATGAAGGTCCCGAAAGCTTGCCTCCATCCATGTCATTAAGGTTGACTCTACTTTGAGGAGGCAGCTCTTTCCCAGTTATATTTTGAGTGCCTTCCAACCTGAGGGGCTCATCTTCCAGCACTGTGTCAGACAGTGTTCTGCTGCTACTCATAAGGTCTTCATTGGCTAATTCTTTTCAGAAGTAGACCGCCCGGCCCTTCTTCCTAGTCTGTCTGCGTCTGGAAGCTTAGCTGAAACCTGTCTGTCATGGGTGACCTTGCTGGTATTTGAATACTGGTGGTGTAGCTTCCAGCATCACAGCAACACGCAAGCCCCCACAGTACAACAAACTGACAGACGTGCCCTCCTATAGTATGTCATAGAATATAAAAACATACAAGGGAAAGACTCCAAACTCTGGCTGGTGGTACCCCCCGGGGCAGGAGAAGAACAGGGCCAGAACCCTGGTCCTCATTGCGTCTGTCGAGTTTCATTTATTCTGCTCAGCGGTGCAGACGTGGGTGCTTGTTAACGTCATCACCAATGTTTTTGTGATGGCCTCAGACCATTCTTAATAAAGATTATGAATCAGATCAGGCCCCTCCCCTGCTCAAGATTCTGCCATGGCTCCTCAGTACCCTTAGAGGAAACCCTCACCTCTCATCCTGCAGCTCTGACCCCCGTCAACCCTTCTCCCTCCATTCCACCC